CAGCATCACCCTGATCCCAAAACCAGATAAAGACACTACAGAGAAAGAAAACTACAGGCCAATTTCGCTGATGAACATAGCTGCTAAAATCCTCCACAAAATATTGGCAAACCGCATCCAGCAATACATTCAAAAGATTATCCACCACGATCAAGTGGGATTCATCCCAGGGATGCAGGGATGGTTCAATATACGCAAATCAGTAAACGTGATACACCACATAAATCAAAGAAAAGACAAAAACCACATGATCATCTCGATAGATGCAGAAAAGCATTTGATAAGGTACAGCACCCATTTATGATCAAAACACTCAGCAAAATGGGAATAAATGGGGCATTCCTCAACGTAATAAAGGCCATATATGAAAAACCTACAGCCAATATCATACTCAACGGGCAAAAACTGAAAGCTTTCCCACTAAGATCGGGAACACGACAAGGATGTCCGCTCTCACCGCTTCTTTTCAACATCGTATTGGAAGTCCTAGCCACAGCGGTCAGACAACAGAAAGAGATAAAAGGCATCCAAATAGGAAAGGAGGAAGTAAAACTATCATTGTTTGCAGATGACATGATAGTGTACATAGAGAACACTGTAGACTCTACCAAAAAACTCCTCAACCTAATAAGTGAATTTGGCAAAACAGCAGGATACAAAGTCAACATTCAGAAATCAAAGGCGTTTCTGTACACCAGCAATGCAATAGAAGAAGAAGAAATCAGGAAAAATATACCATTCGATATAGCACGAAAAAAGATAAAGTACCTAGGGATAAATTTAACCAAAGACACAAAAGACCTGTATGCAGAAAACTATGCAACATTGAAAAAAGAAATTAAGGAAGACACAAATAAATGGAAGCATATACCGTGCACATGGATTGGAAGAATTAATATCCTTAAAATGTCCATACTACCAAAAGCAATTTATAGATTCAACGCAATCCCTATTAAGATACCAATGACGTATTTCACAGAAATAGAACAGACATTTCAAAAATTTATATGGAACCATAAACGACCTCGAATAGCCACAGCAATTTTGAGAAAGAAACACAAAGTAGGAGGGATCACAATACCGGACATCAAACTCTACTACAAAGCCACCATACTCAAAACAATATGGTACTGGCACAAGAACTGACCCATAGACCAGTGGAACAGAATAGAAAGCCCAGAAATAAGCCCAGGTCTCTATGGACATCTAATATTTGACAAAGGGGGCAGAAGCATAAAATGGGGCAATAACAGCCTCTTCAACAAATGGTGTTGGGAGAGCTGGATGGCTACATGCAAAAAATTGAAATTGGATCATCAGCTGACACCATACACAAAAATAAACTCAAGATGGATAAAAGACTTAAATATAAGTCGCAACACCATCAAAGTCCTAGAGGAGAACATTGGCAGGAAACTCTCAGATATCCCACGCAGCAATTTTTTCACTGATATGTCTCCTAAAGCAAGGGTCATAAAGGAAAGAATAAACAAGTGGGACCTCATCAAAATAAGAAGCTTCTGCACGGCTAAAGAAAACATCAGCAAAATGAAAAGGGAACCAACCATTTGGGAAAATATATTTGCTAATGATACATCAGATAGAGGTTTGATCTCCAAGATATACAAAGAACTCACTCGACTTTACTCCAAGAAGACAAACGATCCAATCAAAAAATGGGCGAAGGACCTGGGCAGATGCTTTTCTAAGGAGGAGATACAGAGGGCCCAGAGGCATTTGAAAGGATGCTCTGCATCACTAGCCATCAGAGAAATGCAGATCAAAACCACCATGAGGTATCACCTCACACCGGTCAGAATGGCCATCATAAACAGATCAACAAACAACAGGTGCTGGCCAGGCTGTGGAGAAAAGGGAACCCTAGTCCACTGTTGGTGGGAATGCACACTGGTGCAGCCACTATGGAAAGCAGTGTGGAATTTCCTCAGAAAGCTGAAAATGGAACTGCCTTTTGATCCAGCGATTCCCCTGCTGGGACTATACCCTGAGAACACCAAAACGCCAATACAAAAGAACCTATGCACCCTAATGTTCATAGCAGCACAATTTACAATAGCCAAGTGTTGGAAGCAACCTAAATGCCCATCAGTAGATGACTGGATCAAAAAATTATGGTACATATACACAATGGAATACAACGCAGCAGAAAGAAAAAAAGAAGTACTAAACTTTGCGACAGCATGGATGGAACTAGAGAGCATCATGCTAAGTGAAATAAGCCAGGGGGCGAAAGACAAATACCATATGATCTCACCTATAAGCGGAACCTAACCAACAATGCAAAGAAGCAAGGAAAATATGACCAGCAACACTGAAAGGAAAAGAAATCAACAGAGACAAGAGGGAAGGGGGGGGCAGGGAAAGGGAAGGGAAGGGGAAAGTCAAGGAACATATAGCAAGGACTCATGGACAAAACCAAAGGGGAAGAGCTGAGGGAGGGAAGGTGGGAGGGGGCAAGGGAAAGAGGTGGGGGGAAGGCAGAGACAAATGTATTTAAAAAGTAAATTAATTAAAATAAAATAAAATAAAATAAAATAAATAAAAATAATGAAAAACTGAAAAAAAAAATAATAATGGTACATATACACAATGGAATACTATGCAGCAGAAAGAAAAAAAGAACTACTAAACTTCGCGACAGCATGGATGGAACTGGAGAGCATCATGCTAAGCGAAATAAGCCAGGGGGCGAAAGACAAATACCATATGATCTCACCTATAAGCGGAACCTAACCAACAATGCAAAGATGCAAGGAAAATATGACCAGCAACACTGAAAGGAAAAGAAATCAACAGAGACGAGAGGGAAGGTGCAGGCAGGGAAAGGGAAGGGAAGGGGAAAGTCAAGGAACATATAGCAAGGACTCATAGACAAAACCAAAGGGGAAGAGCTGAGGGAGGGAAGGAGGGAGGGGGCAAGAGAAAGAGGTGGGCGGGAGGCAGAGACAAATGTATTTAAAAAGTAAATAAATTAAAAAAAAAAAACCAAAGGGGAAGAGCTGAGGGAGGGAAGGAGGGAGGGGGCAAGGGAAAGTGGTGTGGGGTTGGCAGAGACATATGTATTTGAAAAAGTAAATTAAAATAAAATTTTTAAAAAATCAATAAACGTTTTTAAATTTAAAAAAAAATAATAATTAGGCTGTCAACCAGAGCTCACTGTACCACTCTGTGCTCCCAGCCTCCACACATTTCTCTACTCTGACATGGCAAAAATGTCCAGCCCTAGAGAAACTGAGCAGTGCATCAAGTCTCTGATTGCTGTTTTCTGGAGCTATGCTGGAAAGGACAGTAACAGCTATACACTTTCCAAGACAGTTCCTAACCTTCAGGAATATGGAACTGGCTGCCTTAACAAAGGACCAGAAGAACGCTGGTATCCTTGACTGCATGATGAAGAAATTGGACATGAACAATGATGGGCAGCTAGATTTCCAAGGATTTTTTAATCTTACTGGCGGCCTAGCAGTAGCTTGCCATGAGTCCTTTAGCTGTTCCCAGAAGTACACATAAGGAGACCTTGAAGGTGGCCACCAGACCTATGTCCTTTCCTTCCATCTTCCCAATCATCATCATCTCCTCACAGACCACACATACCCTGAACCCAGTGTATCCACCACCCTCATGCATGTCCCCCCTGCTGGTAGTAATAAAACATATTTTTTAAAACAAACAAAGAATAATTATTTCAAGGTAAGGATACATGATTTAAATACTCGATTATATTTTGAGAAATTTTTACAAGGGGAGAAACATGATATGCTTTGAAAGGGTAACTTGTTATTCCCTTTTCTTTCTCATTCTTCATTATATAGAACAGCAAGTGGCTTTAACAGGCTTTTTTTCTTATTTGTTGTAAGAAAGAATGGCTTGTTTAATAGCATGTAGTTTAAAACTAAGAATATTGGTTATGTGGTGTACAAGCATAAGAGAAGGGTCCACAATAATCTGAAGACCAAATGTTTTGGTCAAACTTAAAATTTTCAAAGGCCACCATGATGTGCCTTTCAACTATCCTGTTTTTATTCACATGCACAGAGAGGAATATACAGCATCCCTCTATATATAATCAGTGATCAAGGCTTACCAAATTTGTGATGCATAGTTTTTAAGAGAAGAGGTTCTGAAACTACCTGCATTCTACTCCTACCTCTTCCAAGTAGCCATTCTGGCTTGGACTAGTTTTTCAACCTCTCCTTGCCTGGTTGCTTCATCTATCTGATAGAAGCATCAGCTCCACAGGTTAGTTGACGGAGTAAGTGAATTCAAACATAAAATAATGAGGATATTGCTGAGCTCATAGTGAGCATTCAAATTCAGGCCTCTTTCTTCCTTGCTCTTTTTTCCTTGCTGTTAATTTGTAATTCATCTGATCCCAGAAAAAGTGTCTTACTCTGAAGTCCTCTGCTGCTAAGTCTTTGTTTCATCTTCCCCTTCTCTTGAACTCCACTGTGTATTAATTTAATTTTGGCATTTCATACTCTGCCTTTTTTATTACTTCTTTACTCTCACTCCCCCTAACCAAGAGAAGGTAATTGATTTTTCTTTTCTGTAACTAAAGTATTTCACAAATTTTATGTATATCTTTACATGCATGTGTTGTACATTCACAAGGATAGAAGGTCTTTGTTGTTATAAATACAACATATTGGAGTGATTTATTTGCCTGTTTTTCTTGAGTGTCTTGCTGGCAGCATACTCTCATTCATTTTGTTATAGTCATAAAATACAGGCCCTCAAAAAGTGACTGCTGAGTATTCTTTGTTTTTATATCCTCATTTAGCTTATAAGGTTCTGTATAACACTATCCTAATACACTGCCTTCAGTCTTCTCATCGCTCTTGACATAGTCCTATATCATCAGTAGATAAATGAGTTAAGACTTCTTAGTAGTGTAACTAATGTACACATTAGTAAATTAGAGCTTATTAGGTATTATTTTGCCATAAACATTGATATGATTTGTCTCCCTCATTATTTAGGTGCAACAATATTCGTCAGCAGTATTGAAAATGGAATATGGTGTCGAGGAATTATTACTGAATTAATTCCAATAGAAAATGAAAATATTAGAAAACATTGTAGTCCAACCAAATTCTCAGTCTGTGAAGTTGCTCTAATACAAATATTTATGGTAGATTTTGGAAATTCTGAAGTCCTAATTGTTGCAGGGTATGATATTTTATAATTGTTGTGTGTTCCTGGCCTGCTTGGAAACATTTGTGATTGGGGGAAGAGTATAAAGAGTAAAAGGAAATTGGGAAAGAGTGAAGAGGAGTAATTTGTATTTCTTTACTTCCAAGGCATATGCTTTTTTTTAACTCTATAATTTGTCTTAACTAATTATTAAGTTAGTAAAGTATTATTTAACAGTGTTACTAAATGGGGAGCTTAGAGAAAAGGATTCTTGATGTATCTGAACTTACTCTTCTTTGTTTTTTCAAAGCAGGGGAATGATACATAAAATAGTTCTTTTGAAATAAAGAGTTATAGTTAGCTTTATTAGTATTAATTTATTTAGTATTAGTATTATTTATTATTTATTAGTATTATTATTAGTATTTACTAAAGTTTTATCATTAGCTATAAATAAATAGCTCTGTTTGGGGGCATCATTATCCCCTTAAGTTTAAACTAAATAGATATATGAAAGACAACTTCAGATAAAGGCAGTTGAGATTTAATTCTATAGAGAAGGAAAAGTGTCTGTACTTAAAAAAAAGCTAGATTAACTCTATAATGTAAGGAAATACAAATTAGAATATAACTTTTTAGAAGATTTAACATAAGGGGAGAGGTTATCCTTAGAAATGCGTAACTTTTATAGGAGAAAGCAAATTTGGGTTTGAAGCATTATTTTCAAAAAATATTACTGGAATTCTTCCTAGAGTTGGTGAAACCCACGTGAGATCAAAACACGTTGCTGAGCAACATATAGTGCTAAATGACTTACATCTGGTCCTAAGGAAGTCTGAACCATATATTGAAGGGCTGCTGAAAGACTTCCAGCCATTAGCACAGCCCTGCTCATTGAAGGACATTGTTCCACAGAATTCAGTAAGTGAAACTGAAATTATGCTTTCTTCTTGTGGGAGCTAAGTATTCCAGTTTTAGCTAAGTATTGCCACTCAGATTGCTGAGTGTAGGTTTAAGGCATCAGTACTCCTGGTAAATACATTTTGCATAATAATCCAATAGGTGCTAATAATGAAAGAGGAGACTGGAAACACAACTGGAAATATTCTTAATGGGAAATCAAATTAAATAAGCATATATGAACATAGTGATAGGTGAAATATTCAAATAAACCACTAAGTTTTGGAGTCAAATAAGTATGGGAAAATAAAATGATATAGTTTGTGTTTCTGTACATTTCTTCACCGTCTCCTTGGCACATTGTTCATTACTTATAGCCTGCATGCCATTCTGCTTTGTATTATTTCTGAATATCTAGATATTCCCCATCAAGATTGCAAACTTCTGGGAGATAAGGTTGTGTGTAAAAATGTATGTCAAGCAATTATATTATTATGAAAACAGGAGTCTGTGTCTTGGCTCATTATTGTCCTCCAGGCACATAGCAGATATTTGAAAGAATGAGTAAACAAATAAAAACTAGGAGAAAACATAAAAATATGTTTTCCTCAAAATGATAAAAAATTTTAATTTTTTTATTCTGAATAGGCTTTACTTTTATACTCTCAGAGTCTTTTATACTCATAAAGTCTTTAGAAAAATGTTTTATTTTTTGTTTTTAAGGAATGTATAGTTTTGATTCTTGAAATTTACTTTAGGTTTCAGTACTTAAAGTTTCAAAAATCAACTTAAAAAACTTTTTTCCAATGGATGAATGTTTTTCTTTATTTAAGTAGCATATACCTTATTTTTTGCTAGTAATGATAACTAAACTGATGATTATAAATATCTTGGTTTATTACCTGGCTTCCATTATAGTTACAAAATTACCTTTTGAATTTTCATTGTTTAAGTGGAAAATTTATATCTAATACTTGCTTTATTTTAAAATATTTGTAATCTTTATACAAATATTAAGAAGGGAAACTAAGTCCTAAAGTGCAGTAGCTAGCTGAACAACCATGAGACAATATTTATAAATCAAAGTATCACCCACAATTGTGCATCTGTAAGGCTGTCCTCAGATTTGTGTCCCCAGCTTCTGCTTAATGTCTGTGATTGGCTCAGTGCCTCTGCTCAGATTTGCAATCTTTGGTTGGTATAAAGCTAAATCCAGGGCATTGTAACATTAGAGCTAATTAAAATTCCTAAGTTCAATGGAATTTAACTTCTTCCACAGAGTGAAGCTTGGGGAGAAGAAGCTAAAGTAGAATTTTTGAAAATGGTAAACAACAAGGCTGTTTTAATGAAAATTTTTGGAGAAGAAGATGGTATGCTTATTGTAGATCTTCAGAAACCACCAACAAATAAAATAAGCAGTGACATGCCTGTGTCTCTTAGAGATGCATTAGTTTTTATGGAACTGGCCAGGTAGGTAATTTATTAAACCTTAAATATTTTTTGAGATTATAGCTATAAATTGGAATAGCAAATTTTACCTTTAAGAATTATGGCTTTCAAAGTGAACTTCAACATTGTCTGTTAAGAGGTTAAAAATATTGCTGTCAAATTTTCTAAATACGGTTGTCGGTGTAAACTACATACTCAAATCATTTGATTTAAGGAAATAGAGAAAGTAAGGTACCTCAAAGTAGAAACTATTTGTAGATCGTGAACATTTTAATACTCTTGATAACTTCATAAGCAACTGCACTACGGTTTCAATACTTGTAATTTAATGGTTCCTGACTTAAATTTTCTAACTGTGTTTAATATCTGAATCTAGAATGTGTACAGTAAAATTCTTTCTGCCCTCATTGCAGTTACCACAGGAATAGTGGAAGATACTAACTTTCTGTCCTGAGTGATCACATGACTTTGGAAGTAAACTAAGTAGGTTCCATTCTGGAAAAATAAAAGTAGAGTCTGGGAGCTGCAAGGGGCCATGGAGAGCCCTCAGCTGTCCTCACCGACTGCTACCACAGACCAATTTCAAGTTCAACCAAAAGAGTAGAAACTTAGACTCTGAGTAGAACTTATAGGTCCAGCTCAGAAGTAGTCCAACACTTTCAAGGTTAATTATTGAGTTTTGAGGCTTTACATCTTATTTAAACTGGTTTGGTCATTGGAGACAATACCAAAAATGTATTCGAAGTCAGAAAAGAGAAATGGAGAGGGACTACTCTTGGTAGGTAAATTAGCATATGTCCTTTCATTAGATCAAGTCACTGAGAGAAGAGAGACCTCAAGAAAATGGCTCCTGCTTATACTTTTGATCATTCTTTTAATTAGGTTTAGGTCAAACTCACCAGGAAGTCATTGTGAAAAAAATATGATTTTACACTATCATCCACCAATTTTGCCTAAAGAAATGACGGATGTTTCAGTAATGGTTTGTCATATAAATAGTCCTACAGATTTCTATCTTCAGTTGGTAAGTATATAGTATTCCTTTGAGACAAAATATTTTTGCAAATTTTAAGTAGAAATGTATAACAGAAATGAGTGCCTAGTATGATTTTTAGAGCAAAACAAACCACTATGAATCTGCTGTAAATTTTATTTTCTTAGTGGCTACAATTTTAAATAAGAAATTCACATGATTTGTAGTAAATTGAAGGCGCTCTTCATCATATAAATTAGTGATATGTAGAGGGAAAAGACAGTGAAAAATATATAATGTATAAATGTTTTCTTGCTACCATCTGAAATCTACAGTTGACCCTTGAACAACATGAGATGCTGGCCCTTGCCCTGCCTTATGAAGTCAAAAATTCACGTATAATTTTGACTCCCCTCAAACTTAACACATTTAGTAATGCTCATGAGTTTTCTCGTTTTTCATGTGCCATCTGTTATGGACTTTAGATGTCAACACACTGTCTTGGCCACATTGAATGACGCTATCTCATTGGTGGAATCCATGCAGGTCAATCTATGAAAAACTATATAATTGCATGAACCCATAAAGCATTGCAGTTACATTGTATTTTGGTCATTCGACCCTGGCATATGTCTTAAGAGATTTCTATGTGATATGCAATGTGTTAACTACTAGTAAATAGTCTCCTGTTGACCAGAGGCTTGCCAATAACATGACTGATTAACATATTTTATATGTTTTATGTATTATATACTGTACTCTTGCAACAAAACAAGCTACAGAAAATAAAATGTTATTAAGAAAGTTGTTAGGAAAATGCATTTAACAATATTTATTGAAAAAATCTGCATATAAATGGACCCAAGCAGTTCAAACCTGTGTTCAAGCATCAACTGTAGCGATTAGGAAAGCACATAGAGCTGACAAATCAAAGTGATAAGACCTGTTTCTGATCATGATTAACTGAGAATTTATGAACTGTTACTAGGTATTTTTTCAGAATCCGAACACCAAAACAGATTCAAACTAAAGGTATTTCATATTAAATTTTGGATGTGAGACTGATGGGTTTAGAAGGCTACTAACAGTTCATTCTTATTGATCTCTTTTCATCAGTGCTTTGTAAGAATTAACTCATTCTAAGGGCTATAATGCTGTGTGTAAATTAACTCATTAATATTAACAACCATCCTATGAGAAAAATACCATTCTCTTCCTTTATATGTGGAGACTAACTGGAAAGGTGAAACAACTTGCCATAAGTCACACCACTACAAAGGGTAGAGCCAGGATTGGTCTGGGCAGTGCAGCTTATTCAGATCCTGTCACCTCAAACACTGCACTACACTATACTACCTCCCCAAAGGAGTTGTGGATATCTGCCTGTTCGGCACTAAGTAGAGCTTTCATGTATTTCTTCTGTTGAATTTTTTTGTCTTTAAATTTACGTAAAGCATATATAACAAAATTTACTATTTTAACCATGAAGTGTACAGCTCAGTGCCATTAAATATATCCCCCATGTTGTGCAACCATTATTATTATTCCCCTCCAGAACTTCATCATCTCAAGCAGAAGCTTTATTGCCATTAAGCAATAACTCCCCATTCCACTCCCCCAATAGGTGTGATAACCTATTCTACTTTCTCTCTGTAAGTGTAAAACAAACCCTAGTTTTCCCTTTGTGTGCCTTATTTTACTTAGTATAATGTTAACATGTTGTAGCATGTATCAGTTTAATTCCTTTTCATTGCTGACTAATGGTCATTTTATGTATATACACATTTGTTTATCCATCTATTGATGAACACTTGGATTGTTTTAAACTTCTGGATATTTTGAATAATGGTATTATGAACATGGGTGTACAAGTATCTGTTTGGGTCTCTGCTTTTGATTCTTTTAGGTATAGAATGAAGAGTCTAATTGCTGGATTACAGTATACGAATTCTGTTTAACTTTTTTCAATATTATTTTTGTATTAATTTCAGGTGTACAGTATAGCGGTTAGACAATCATGTACCTTAGAAAGTAGTCCTTCCAATATTTTCTAGTACCCATCTGGCACTATGCATAGTTGTATCTCTGTGACTGTTTTGTAACTACCAAATTCATACTTCTTATTAAAATTTTTTGAAATTATTTATTTTGAGCCATGAATTATTTTACTGTATTTTTTTCATTACCATTTAGTCTGCTTGTACCCCTCTTCCTCCCACAGTCATTATACTGTTGTCCATGTCCATGAGTCCTTTGTTCCTTTTGGCTTAATCTCTCCACCCCTGCCCTCCCCCTGCCCTCCCCCTGCCCCTTAGCTGTCATCCTGCTCTCTATGATTCTGTCTCTATTTTGCTTGTTAGTTTAGTTTTTAATTAGATTCCACATATGAATGAAATCATGTGGTATTTGTCTTTCTCTGACTGGCTTATTTCACTTAGCATAATGTTCTCCAGGTCCATCCATACTATTGCAAAGGGTAAAACTTTCTTCCTTTTTACAGCGAGTAGCATTCCATTGTGTAAATGTCCCATAGTTGTTTTATCCACTCATCTACTGATGGACACTTGGGCTGCTTCCATGTCTTGGCAATTGTAAATAACGCTGCAGTGAACATAGGGGTGCTTATGTTCTTTCAAATTAGTGTTTTGGATTCCTTCAGATATATTCCCAGAAGTAGGATCACTGAGTCAAAAGGCAGATCCATTTTTAATTTTTTGAGATATCTCCATACTGCCTTCCACAGTGGCTGCACCTATCTGCATTCCCACCAGCAGTGCACAAGGGTTCCCCTTTCTTCACATCCTTGCCAGAACTTGTTGTTTGTTGATTTATTCATGATGGCCATTCTCACAGGTGTGAGATGGCACCTCATTGTGGTTTTAATTTGCATTTCTCTGATGATTAGGGACACTGATCATCTTTTCATGTCTATTGGCCATCTGTATGTCCTCCTTGGAGAAGTGTCTATTCAGGTCCTTTGCCCATGTTTTAATTGAGCTGTCTATTGTTTTGGTGTTGAGTTTTGTAAGTTCTTCATAAATTTTGGATATTAACCCTTTATCGGATAAATCAGCAAATATGTTCTCCCATTCTGTAGGTTGTCTTTTTATTTTGTTGAGGTTTTCCACTGCTGTGCAAAAACTTTTTAGCTTGGTGTAGTCTATGTGTTTATTTTTTCTATTGCTTCCCTAGACTGGGGAGTTATACCTGATAAAATATTGCTACAAGCTATGCCTGAGATTTTGCTGCCTATGTTTTCTTCTATGATTTTTATGGCTTAGGTTTTAACATTTGTCTTTAATACATTTTTAATTTATTCTTGTGTAGGGGATAAGAAGGTGGTCTAGTTTCATTTTTATGTATGTATCTGTCCAGTTTTCCCAACACCATTTATTGAATAAACTGTCTTTAGTCCATTGTATGTGCTTACTTCCTCTATCAAATATTAATTGACTATAAAGGTGTGGGTTTATTTCTGGGCCCTTTATTCTGTTCCATTGATCTATGTACTTGTTTTTATACCAGTACCATGATGTTTTCATTACTATGGCCTTATAGTTTGATACTAGGTAGCACGATTGCTCCAACTTTGTTCTTCTTTCTCAGGATCATATGTGGGTTAGTGTTGCTATGTGGGTCTTTTGTGGTTCCATATAAATTTTTGAAATATATGTTCTAGTTCTGTGCAATACATCCAATTTATACTTCTTAATCCTTTCATGTATTTCACCATGTCCTCCTCCTCTGCTGCCATCTGGCAACCATAAGTCTGTTCTCTGTATCTGAGTCTCTTTCTATGTTGTTTCATTTATATTGTTTAGATTCCACATGTAAGTGAAATCATATAGTATTTATATTTCTCTGACTGAATTACTGCACTGAACATAATACCCTCTAACTCCCTCCATGCTATTGAGAATGGTAAGATTTCATTCTTTTTGATGGCCAAATAATATTTTGTTGTATATTTGTACAACAGCTTTTTTATCCACTAATCTATTGATGGGCACTTGGTTGCTTCCATATCTTAGCAAAAGTAACTAACACTGCAGTAAATATAAAGGTGCGTATATTCTTTAAAACTAGTGTATTGGGTTTCTTCAGATATATACCCAGCAATGGAATTGCTGGGTCATAAGTTAAGTTCCATTTTTAATTTTTTTATGGACTCTCCATACTCTTTTCCTTAGTGGCTGCACCAATCTGCATTCCCACCAGTAGTGCACAAGGCTCCTCTTTTCTTCACATCCTCACCAACACATTCGTTGATTTATTGATACAGCTATTCTGACAGGTGTGAGGTGATATCTCATGGTGCTTTTCATTTGATTTCTCTGATGATTAGTGATGTTTCATATCTGTTGGCCATCTGTATGTCCTTTTTGGAGAAGTGTCTTTTCAGGTCCTCTGCCCATTTTTAGCCCTGCAGAGGTGGCAGCTGATCTGAGAAAGACAGACAAACTCTTTTCTTAATTATTGTTATATATATCGTGTGCATAGGTTCAGGGTCTTGACTAGCTGCATGTTTGTCCATGACTAATGTTAAGCCATAACGTTTAAGCTGTCAGTTTGGTTATAACATGTGTTTCATAAGGGTGTGTGATATTTTATAGTAAACTGTATCTTAGAGATACCGCCAATTTCAGTCAGTCTTGTGGTTTGGTTTTGTTTTTCATTTACCATTGAAAATGGCTGGAATAATATATCAATTTGATACTCCAAGAGATATTGAACAACTTCTTATCAAAACACTTTTGCAAGTGTTACAAAAAGTATTTATGCTTTGAGTATAGCGGTATTGTTTGTGATGATTGTTAGAAATGTTTTGCAAAGCCAACTATTGAACATTCTGATTGATTAATGTTAAAGACAATTTTTTGGTTGTTTTTCAAAAATGTCCATTTTTCCATAACTTGAAAAGAAAAAATTTTATTCTTTGTTTCTATGTTTCTAGATTGTAACTGAAAATAATCATGTATTTTATTAAATAAATATAATAAATACAAATTTGAAGTGTCTTGAATTTTTTTTCACATTTCAGCACATACTAGTAAT